CCCCTCCCTACTCCTGTTTGCTTTTGTGAACACAATAAAAACAGTTGCACAATGTGTGTCAAGAGCAAACGAAAGATTCTGGTAACCATCTCAGTTCAGAAAATCAAAGAATTTTTTTCTATTTCTTCCAATTTCAATCACACAAATTAGCATTCAGACTGTCGTGGAGTGCAAATCTTGTCACTGAATTAAAAGCAGATTTAAGACCTAAGGTTCATTACATTCTTCATTATCTTCATCACTCTCTACAGCTTGTATACTACTGGGAAAACAATCCTATGATATGTGGCACAAGAACACAATTTCTCAAGCATACTATGAAAAGTTCTAAGTCACACTTTTTCCCTGTGTATCTGCTCTGCATTGACAAGGAGCCCAAGCTGTGCCTGCTTCTGTCTGTTCATCCCACCAAACTGGTGCAGCACAAGCAGAAAAGGGAGGACAGATCACTGGAACCGGTGTACCCAGCAGTGCATGCTTGGGTTAGCTCTGCTACCCGCCACAGTTCCCTTAGAAATGGAATTCTAGCACAAAGTGTGGCACGTATTGCTAGAGATGGAAAGGAACAGCTGTTCATGGATGAAGGTGGGGAGGTTTGCATCCCTTTTCCAAGCAGTTTTAGTATTGTGGAAATGAGGCTCAGAAACTCCACAAAATTACCCCGCTATGTTAACTTCCTCCTAGTCTGTTGCCAGACAGGATAAGCCACATTCTTCAATGATTAAAAACATAAGATGCAGATAATTTAAACTGTTACCATTATCTAAATGCACTACCCAGTGCCAAAGGCTTCTTTTGTTTTATTCAAATTCAGTAAATATTTTGTATTGGTCTTACTGAAAAATAAGAACAGAATTGGAACTTAAACATGGAACACTTAAAAACCACCTAACTGAAGTTTGCAATGGCACTTTTTGGGAGTGTATATCCATTACAATATGGTTGTGTCTGAAGCTTTAGGCATACAAAGCTACCCGCAAACTTCTATTAAAAAATAAGAATTTTCAGTCACTTGGAAACTCTGAAAAAATGTCATCTGTGCTCTGAGCACTGACACAATTACACTTTTTCTAAGTTGCAATTACACTTTTCCATGGCAACTTAAAATTATCTGTAATAAGTAAAACTAAACTTATCTGTAATCATAAATAAATAAGTAAATATTTAGTAATGCAATCAATAAAAATTAAAATTATCTGTAATAGGTAGGAATCCTTTGCAGCTATTTTTTTATATTGGTCAGAAAAATTATGATTATTTTGGACAGAAGACTAAGATTCAGAATATAGCTAAAGTCTATTCTTTATATACTGATAAATAGTTTATTTACTTTTAAAGCAGTTTTCCTTTAATGACATAAAAATCTTAGTCTTATTCACCAGGACTATGGTATAAGATAGTTCACCAATTTTAATCACTATTCCCATCAGACATTGTCAGAATATTTAATTTCTTCACATTTCTACATATCTGGATTAAATGGAGGACTCTACTTCTCCCTAATGACAAAGCCAAAGCTGAGATTTTGAAATCTTCCCGAATCTATTATGAAATTCTGGACTTTCACAGGTTGATGTCACAGGTTCACAGGTTCAAAATTATTTCTGTAGGTTTTGTTTTTTTTTTTCCTTTGCCATGGATGAAGATAAGTAGTGCAGTGAAAAGATCAGCTTATCTGGGTTGCATGTGCCCCTTTTGTAAATTAAGGGAGTTAAAAATGAGAAAACTTTTATCTCCTGTTAAAATACTTAAATTCAAAGTCATTCCTTAGTACATGCTTTAATATGTAAGTTGTTCATGTGTATGTAGGTTTTTGATATATTTTTGTTCAGATTTCCATTTGATTGAGGAAGAGAAAAGTCCACACAAGCAGTACCCTTGAAATCTCTACATTTATCTGAGGGTAAGAATATAAGCTTTATTTTGCCTTACACCCCTGAATACTCTAAATTACTCTTCCGTGATTTGCATAAGAACTGAATGTTTTTCTTATGTAAAAATACAACAAAAGCTTCTGACAGGCAATATTTTCTCCTCCCGCTTTTAATTGCACCTTCCCCAAGATTTCAGATTATCTGTATGCCTAAGCACACTCATCTTTTTCTTAAGGAACTCAAAAAACTGATCAAAGTACCTCAGCTTCTCAAGTCTGTATTATCTTCAGAGAGCATCTGAAAAACAGGTACTTATCTCAGGATCTAAATAAAAAGACCCTATTTAACTGGTTAAATTATGAGTCTGCAGTTTGGTGTCATGAATATCCCTTTATTGTTTTAAACCATAGTGCCTCATTTCTCCTATTGAAGATGCTGAAATACGCTGTCAGTTTTTAAAATCCCCAAAATGGCGTTGAAAAGATAAAGCAAATATTTTACTTCAAAATTTTCCTTGAAAGAAAAAATAAACAAACCCCAAATAGAATATTCTGCCAAAAGGTCTCAATAAGTTTGCACAGTGAAGCTGAATTGAACCCCCACCATTTCACAATTCCTGTATTTTAATGGTGTATTTTGCCTGCTGCCCATGCTGCTGCTCTGGCTGCTTGCAAACCTCTGCAGTTGAACACCCTTTTAAAGAGCTGGTGCAGCTTCATGTGTCCTCTGCTGCTCCGTGTGGAAAACCCCTCTGTCCATAGCAGGAACTATCAGGAAACCCTAGTTTTGCAAGGGTCACTTTTAGCTACACAAGTATTAATATACCCTAAAATGCAAAGGTGTGGATGGGGCTTCACAGTATTTTACTGCAAAACTGAGTGTCTACAGTGATTTCCAGCTGCAGTCTTTTAAATGAATGGCATTACTGTTCCAGACACAGAAACCTGATACTCTGGCAAAATGCGCTCGCTGGCTGTGGGGGACAAATAATGCTGGAGCTCTTGCTGCAGATTCAGTACTAACTCCTCCCTGCCAAGAGTTTACAAACTCAAATGGGCAGCTTTCTTCCTCTTGTGCCTGGGGTGTTTTATGTGGGGATTTCAGCAGGCAGGATGCGCATTTCATGTCCAGGAACTCCTGCGCAAAGAAGGGTTTCTCACATTCCAACATGGTGCAAACCTTGTCCCGGCCCCAAAGACCACTTCTCCCTGCTGTTGTTGGGTGAGGTCTGTGTTCTGCAGCTGGATGGTCATATTGCCTCAAACAACACCATCAGGATCATTGGTTATGTCTAGATTTTTAAAATTCTTTATAGGAATCTTGGTTCTGCTACCAGGCTCAGCTCATCGCACCTCTTTTCAAAGACAAAATACTTAGGATTAAATCAGGATTTAAACTGATTACATCAAAGTTACCTTTGCCTTACATCCAAAAGCCCTGCATGAAACTGGCTGTTAAATCTGGAAATAGACCCCACTGTTAGCCTTTAGCATTCTTAACAACAATTTCAAATTAATAAATGGCCCCTTTAAAAGATGAAACATCAAATTGCAGTTGAATCTGGCTATGGCAATGGAAATGCCAGATTCTGGATTATGGGTAAAAAGGGTTGCAGGATCAGGATGTTCAACAAAAGCTACATTACATGTCTCTTTATTTAATTTAAGCTCCAGAATTAAGAGATGCCTGAGATAGAGTGGAAATATAAATTCACCAGACACAATCATACAAAAAATGGTAAATTAAAGACAGATCCAGAGTCTGCAGGCAGGAAATCAGCAAGATTCTCTGAGATGTTTGATAGGAGTACAGGTTAATTTTTAAGTTTTCTTTCTTTTCCTTCTGTCCACAAACAATATCCACAAATCCATAAAAATGCAGGATTATTGTTTAAGATAAATGGTATGTCACATATTTAAATCTAGAGAAAAACAAATGTGCAATGACACAGTCTTCATTTTGTCATCATGCCTTTGTATCACACACCTCTGACAATCCATGCCACCTTGAACCATCTCCCAAAAGACTAGCCCCATTCTTACATATCATTTATTACTTTATTACTTCTTGCAACTTAAAGGAAACTAATAAATTAAAATTTTAGATGCATTCTTGAAATCCTACAGGAAGAAATCAGTTATTCAAAACAATCTGAGAAAAGAATATGAAGGCAATATCTCAATATTGCCTTGAAACAGAAACAAATATATATATATATATATATATATATATATATATTCTATTTTTTTCTAAACAATTTACCCAAAGCTGACACTTTTTGGTTTGGTTGGTTTGTTAGGAATGGTTTGCATTTCTAACAATAATTTAATATTTGATGTCAGTGTACCTGAATCCCACTAGTTCTGGTGTAATAGGGATACATGCATTACTGCAAGTCTGAAGTACATATTTATCTTTCCTCTGAGTGTTCATTGTATAAAAACTGGAGTGCTAAATACAGCCAAATGCTGCCCATGCAACTACAAATGAGCCACGTGTCCGCTTCATTGTGAATCCCTGAATTTTCACTGGAAATGAAAAAATAATTCTCAGAGAAAGTAAAAATAACTTTTAGCTGCTAATTTAAAACAAATTATTCTTTTTCATCTGATCATTATTGTCAAGAATGTTAGCCTTCCATTGTAGCAAGGTCAGGATACTTGGAAGAATATTAATAAGCTAGCATTGGGTGCTCACAAGGTTCCCTCATACGTTCCTTCAAGTCACATCATACTTGATTAAAAGAAAAAAGTTTGCCTCTAAGTGCAAAGTGAAAAGAAACCCAGTGCAGCTATTAATATGTACCAATTAGTACAGCTGAGTTCAGACCTATGTGTCTAATATGTCAGTCAGGCCCAGGTGACTTTTTTACCACAGGAAAACCTGGTAAACTTTTTTTCAGTAATTGTTTTTGCAGTTAAGAATTTCTAAGATGGAAGGAGCGGGGTAGGCTCTGTCCTCCATCACCGTCATGGTCTGTCTGTAACTAAAATTAATTAATTTAGAAATCATGGCTTAACTCAGTGCATTAACAACCCCTCCTGATGTACTGTGCTTTGAACCAGGCCCTTTCGGAGCAACAAATAGTCATATGGTCTAAGCAATGATAAGGGAGTACAAAAGCAGTTCTACAGCAGTTTATTAAAAGCAAAACAAACAAAGGTGATTTCAATACCAAAGCAGTTCCATTTTATTCAAACATCCCTATTGTCACAACAAGTTGGAGAGTAAAAAAATGAAGTGTTCCTGCCAGGTGCAACAGGACAGACGAATAAAAATGTAGATGTCAGACAGCTGAAATATATCTCATCCAAAATAGAGAAGTTTCATAGACAAAGGTTTAAGACAAGAGTTTCATTTTTTCTTTGTAGCATTTAAATCTACCACTGTGGATAATGGAGAGGCTATTTCACTCTTTTTCTGGGGGTGGGGGAGAAGCAGCAAAAATTTCCTTGCCATTTTCAGAGAATCCCAGCCTGCAAGTGAAAAACAAAGTGCTGATCTTTCTCATCATTGCTGTGAAAGCCACATATTAGTAAGAATCAGTCATTCAGTCATTAGTAAGAATCTGATCATTCAGTCTGTAAATTGAATGTTAGAGCAAAGGCTTTCAACAACCTCTGCTGACATAAGAGTAATGGACTTGGCATGAGTGATAATTTCCTAACCACTTCTTTTTCTTCTCAGTCCTAGTCTTAAAGGTCAGACAGAGCAGCCACCAACCTCTGCATACCAGAAGAAATTAGAGGATTAATCCAAACAAACAAATGTATTATCAGTACATATTCTCTGGAAAAAAATGCAGTAGTATAGAGAATGCATAAACCAAAAGGATAGGTCCCCAACTGAGAGAAACTGCTGAAGCTACAGTGACAAGGAGATGCTGAAGAAATTAACCTCAGATGTTTTATTACCTGCACAAAAACAGAATAGGTCCCACAGAGCGTTCGTTTCAACTCAGCAGTAACTTTGAGAATACAGATGATCAACTGCAATCCACTGAGGGCTATCAAAATCGAGAGTAAAATGATGTTCCACTCCACTATGTTAGCAGGTTCTGTGCACTTGGACCAGGCAGGGTAATCTGTGAGGTACCTATTAGAGAAACACCAGACTGAAGTAAGAAGAATGTTTCTGACTACTGATTTGATGAACAATTCCTCCCAGAAGAGTTACACCAATGTTTCTTACCCCCCAGCAGTGTCTTTGAAAATATAATTCCATCCACTTGATGAATTGCAGAAAGGGCCTTGAATCAAATGCAGGGTAAAAATGATGCAACTGTATCCCGAGAAAGCTATTCCAAGCAGGGCTAGCACAATAGAAATAAAACTCTAAAGTAAAGAGAGAGAGAGAAATATTACCTTGTGGGGATAGTGTCAACAGCAAATATGATCATTCAGTCTGTCTAGCTACTTCCTTGGGGCTGAATTTCACATTTGATTTACGCAGTCTTCAAAATTCAGAAAGAAAAATAGTAGGTAAAGAATAGTAAGAATACACATACAAAATAAAGATTAAGACAGAGTTTAAGGCAGCTCTACAATTATAATTTATATATTATTTGGGTAGGGCTTTTAAATTCGCATTTTTGTAAAGTTGTTTCAGAAAATACCAGAGGAACACAAGCATGTATTAAATATGTCTGCATCCCAGGTAGCATGTATTGAGTCATTTCTGAAAAGAAAAACACTTCCAAATAATACAAAGGTGAAGCTGTTTAGCTGGTGTGCTTCATTCTACGTTCTTATTTTATTTTGCAAGGATTTGGGGGAAGTGTGTGTCTAATTTTCTTTCATCATGCTTATGCTTCAGAAGAAAGAAGCTACACTTTCTGTGACCTTGCAACCCAATTTAGAATCCTCTGTGAAAGGAAGTGAAAACAGAGCAGTGGAGAGGGCAGCAGGATGTGCTGGAAACAGGAGCAGGAAGGCATTCAAAACAAATGCTAAGGAGATGCACAGAAATAAAATACAGACTCACCCTGTAGGTTTTGTTACAGCTCTCACTCTGGCAGCACTGATGGAACACACTACACTCCAGTATTATTAGAATTACTGCCAAAATAAGGATCTGTAAGAGGACATTGTAAGGTCAGTGAGATGACTGCAGATACTAAGTCAAAGTCTCCTTCACCCTTAGAAGGCAGGGACTGCATCTCTTCTGCTGTCTTGCTATTTTAAAGCTGATCCATAGGACAGCACAATTATTCAAGGCACACATGGGACTGGGGTGGTTTTAGTAGGCTGCTGCTGTACTCGTGTCTTATACTTGAAAGACAAGAGTACAGCATCTCCCACCACAGTGAAGTGCTACGAGCGTAGGCACAGCGACACCAGTGAAGCTGAAACAAATAAACCCAGTTCACAAGCAAAAGAATCAATACCAGTGAAAAGGAGAATATTTTACTGATACAAACACATCAGTTCAACACCTTCTTGCTGACACAGGTATACAAATCAGGGTGTTGCCTTCCTTACCAACACACTTAGGCTAGAAAATGTCAGTAATGCAAACTTTTGATTAAATTCATTTAGACTTTCATTTGTTTGTCAAGTATCTAAGTAATATTTTCAAATTATTGGATTATTTAAGCCTGACCCTAGAATAATTTTGATAAATAGGATCTGGGCTCCAGAATCACAAACTGCCATTCAGAGAGGCATAGGTTTGAAAAGAGATGTATGAGAAGAGAGTATTCCTGAATCACAACACTGTCTTGTCACATGCTGCTGGTTTGTAACAGAATGATACATGCATTTTTAATAAATTGGTAATAGCCTTAAGGCTAAAATGCTTCAAAATATCAGTATCACTGGTATTGCAGTTAACTTTTTCATACATTTGCCATTGTTTTTCTGTTTGAATCTTCTCTCTGGTAGATTTTTGTCTTCTGCTAGAACAGAGTTTTTCTTCTGCTTTAAAACAAATACACGATTTCTAAAGAATGTCTAATGTTTTAATAACAGTTCATCACCTTCATAAAAAAACCTCCCTTATGCAGATAAACCCTTTTTAAGCACTGATTGAGTGCAGTGAACTTTGATCACATAACCCCTTTCTGTTCCTGAGGCTACAGCTCTTTATCAACATGGTGAATTGCATGAGCAGTTAGCAACTCTGTGGTAGTTCATTACTGCAGATGAGCATATTGCAAACGTAACAGGGAAAGTCCTACTATGCTCATCACAGTGAGACACTTCTCTGTATTTAGGCTGACAACAGTACTACCTGATGCATTGTGAACTCTATCCAGTCCTCTAAATAGTGGACTGCATACCGCTCTTCAAAACATTGGAACCATTATGAGAAGCTCTTTTTTTTTTCATTTGGGTAAAAGAGCTCTAATTCAGCCTTCAGGTTATTAAATCAACATAACGTTTGCTTCCATAATACAAGGAAAAATTACATATAAACAAAAAGACAGCAGAAAAAACACCCCAGCACACCCTGCAAAATCATTTGCACTTAACATACATAACATGTCATTCAGTATACTAACTCTTTTTTCTGTTCTTTTCTGCCTGCAGTGGTTTTTGTTGAAGCATTACAATATGCTTTTTTTTTTAAAAGCAATTACAGAAGAGTTCCTGAAGAGTAATCCAATATTATTTGCAGTAGAATGCAATTCATCAAAAATCCATAGACTGAGCACTTACCATCACACCTGAGAAACAGATCCCTTCAAAATACCACTCATGGTTGGGGAGCTGGTAACTGGCAGCATGCAGAGCTTTCCCATTGGGAAAGTACAGGAGGATGTTCACAACAATACTCCAAAGCGCAAGAGGTACCAGCAGGCAACTCAAACAGTTTCCATATGTCTCCAAAGCCATCTCTCAAGAACTCTGGAAGTTTTTTTCTTCTAAGCTAACAAAAGTTTACAAGTCTTTCAATACAAGAAGTGTTTTGACCTCCTCAGCTTGATTCAGTCATTTCATATTCACAGGAACCAGTGACTGGGGTGTGATTCCAGGGACTGAAGTGCATAACAGTTAGCAGAACAACAGATGAGTATCACTGTGTAAACTCACTGTCCTGTGTTAAGCATGTCTTTAAGCAGCCATTTCCCTTCCAAAAGATCCTCCTTTGTGATCTTCCAAATGAAATATGTCTAGGAGTCAGACTCAGGAAGGAACTTCAAAGCTCTCATTTCCTAGTGACTGCTCAAAAACGTCCTCCTTCCCATGACAGGAACTGCAACACAGTTTGCAGAAGAAAGGTTTTTCAGCCTTACTGCACTGTGGGAAAGGGGGCTGTAAGAAGATAAATATACCCAGTCTCTGTACAGAAGGACACACTTTGCCTCATACTACAGAGATTTATTAAGACAACCTTAAGGGGCTACCAATGTGTTACTGACTTGCAACAGCAGGCTGACTCTGGGCAATCTTGCAGAGTACAGAAGCCCAAATAGCCCTGGTCAGAAACTGCAAGACAGACTTCTTTTCACACTTTTAATCAATTACTCTTTCCCACAGCATTATGTGGCTTTGCAAATGAAATACTGCCATTTCTCCAATTGTTTCATTCTGTGCTTACAGCTGAGCTTGCACAGCTACAGACCTGACCTATGTACATGTGACTTCTTGTGCAGGACAAAAGGTCTGGCTGTGGTTCTGAAATGCCTGCTCTTTGCACTGTGCAAAGTCAAAGTCAGACAGCTTTCCCATTGTTGAATGTCATCATTCCCCAAACCCTGAGCATCTAAACACTATCCCAGTAACACAGAGCCAGGGCAGATTGAACACTTGCAGCACAACCCAAGCCTTCAGTCAATCCATCTGTGAGTCATCAGAAAAGAACTCAAGAATGACCTTAAGCTTTATTCACTAGGAAAGCTGGGTCAGAGGAAAAAAAAAAAAAAAAAAGGAAAAAAAAATGAGTCTATCAAAAGCAGGAAGGCTGATTTTAAAAGCAATGACATCACAAAATATTTTCCTTGTGTTTCCTCATGAGCTGTTTCAGGCCCTTCACACATGAGGCTTCTCTCATCCTCTCATAAAAGCTGTTCAGATTGCATGTTGTAACTAATTCCATACTATCACTTAACATGAGATCACACAAGGAAATGGGCATGGTGTTACAAAATTACACCATTTTTCTACCTGTGCTCTGCTGTGACTCTCCTCTTTTTCTAGGAGGTTTCATTTTGAAGTCCTCATTCTTCCCATATTTCCTGTTTTACACTCTCATCACTCTGGACCCTTTTTTTTCAGGTCTCCCTCTAATCAGAAGTAGTAGCAAGCCTATCTTTCCAGACTCATAGGCAGAGACAGAACTCATGTCATCTACACCGTGCCATAGAGAGTAAACAGCTGCATTAAAATCATGCACATCCAATCCCCATGACTGATTTTTTTAGTACAAAACTCAAAGATCATATAATTGGCCAAAATATTTTCTTAAAAGCAAAGGCCAAAATCAGTAGCAAGCATCTTATTTTATAATCAACTTTGATGCTATTTCCATTATAACCTGTTCTGATTAGAAGAAGCTAACTTGAGAAATTATGACTGAAGCAGCATTTGTTCTGCATTGCAGCAGTCTGCTTCATGACTTTGTTTTTAAACTGGGCTCTGCAAATACCAAATCTAAGTGTGGTTATTTTTTTGGCACACAATGCCACTACAACAGGAAACAACTATTTTATACTAAGAATTAAACAAACCTGTAAGCCAGTTTATCAAACATCTTGCCAAATGTTGCAAGCACTACTTTTCCATTGCTGTCATTATTCATGAGCTGATTCCAAGCCTGTTACCGAAAAGTCATGTTTACTCTGTGTGAGTGACTTCTCTGCCAGCTGAAATGAATAAAACTTAAACCAATCACTTCTTCACAATGTAACAGATAAATCTCTCAAAACACTGTCTTATGCACCAGGCAACAAAATAATCCAGCTGGGGATTTTTTACATGACAATACAAATAGTGCGCAGTAATGCTGTGCATTAGGGCTACAAGGATCTATTGGTGCTACATACATTTGTGCTGAAGTTTCAAGTCTAAACCCTAGCCTAATCATTCTGTGTATTGGAATTCATAAAATTGTTCCAGTTCTTTAATTGTGTGTACCAGAAAAACAAGTAATTTTATGCAAGAATAAAGGCAAAAATCTTTAAGTTGCATGGTAGTTATACATTATTCTATTGAGGACTCCCTTCTCCACTTTCTCTCCTGCACCCCATTTAACCTTACAGATATTTTTTTCAAACAGTGGATCTTCACACACAAAGGCACTGGACCACACAGCTGCAAGGAATTTTGTGTGTATACATATGTGCATGCACATATTCTCCTTCCTCCCTTCCATAGCAGGGCAGGACAAGGATAGACACTACCAAGAAATGGCATTAAAATCCTTCAATTACTTCTATGTATTTAGGTGTGAATAAATACTCTTGTGAAATTCAGATATCCTGAGATTCTAGACAAACTCTCATCTGAGAATTCTTTTGCTGATGTAGATATACGTGGACAATTTTGTTTTCACAGTTAACTTTTTTTTTCAGGCATGTATTTGTACAGGGCAGACTTAACTGTGCAGACAGTCTGAGATACACCTGAAATTTCTGGCTATCTTTAAAGACTACACTCCTAGTTACAAATAGCCTAAGGATGTACTGACACCCATGGGAGCTTCTTTTTCTCCCATGAATAGAAACCAACTTGCTTGTTTTCAAGGACAATATGAACAGCTAAATTCCAAAACTGAGCCTCCTTCCTTTGAAATAAAGAGCATGTCCCATTTTGCTTTTCACTTGAAAAATGCCATTGCCAGCAGCAATGTTGCCAAGCTGGCTTTGCCAGCAATGCTGTTGGCAGCACATTATTCAGATGTACTTGTGATGAAACTTTCAGTCTAATGGACAACAAGCTACACTTCAGAGATTCTTACCCAGGACCTTACAGTAATGCCTTCAGGCTGATAACTGGTGAAGTCAGATATTTCAGATTAATCTGTTGTTGCTGACCTGAATTTGGACTGTAATCCTTGAACACTGGGAGGCCTGAGGGTCTGCTGAGTGAGGTAAAAAACAGGAGTCATGCCCACATCTTGTTTTATCTCAGGCCTATAATGGAGCAATCAGGGGATGATCCCTCTTGGGAGGGCAGGAGGGGCTCAGCTGTGCAGGGACCCCCTCAGCTCCCTGGTTGGGAACTGCCAGCCCTGAGCCAGGACTAAGGCTCCACATGTGCTGTTGTATCTGTCCCAAAGCTATTGTTGAACCCTTATTGATGAACTAACACCCGTTTCAGTTAAATGAGCCCAACCAAGAGAGGAAGCAGTTCCCACTCTGGCAGAGCCTGCTGGAAAGGAAAAACAGGTTATAACCTGATTGCATTAAATCCACATTCTTATGACACCACTGCCTTTTACTCCAAGACCAGGCAAGCAGTGGTTCAGCATGGGCAGGGAAGGAGTCACTGACACCTCCTGGGTATTTTTAATACAAATCTTTATTTGTGAAATACAGGGGAAGTTCAGAAAAATCCTGAAAAGCCCTTAATCATCCACATTTTACTATTGCTTTAATTTTGGTCCAGCTGACCAAAACCTTTTATCCAGGCCAGGCTAGATTTGGTTTGTGTTCATTTCAAGATCGGAATGAAAGAGCAACTTTATTGGGAAAGCAGGACAAAGTACAGAGCTGTTATGTCAGTAGAAAGAGAAAAATAAATAACGCCATTTTAGTTACATGTGTTAAAGCAGTTGCCTGTACCAAGATGAAATGAACCAAAGACACTCAGGATACATTTTGCCTTCCGGTTCAGGCAGGTTAGTAGAAAACCTGCATATGACTCCAGCAACAAAGGCCCCAAGTCAGTTAAGTTCATGCCAACATCTCAGTTTGACAACAATGTGAATTTCAGTATGCACAGAATGTTAAAAAAAAAATCCACAGTATATTCATTACAGCACACACATGCATCGATGTCAATGCATTGTCAGGTTCTAGCAAACGTATGCCTGTGGGGGGGACAAAAAGGAAGAAACGTATTAATGGAAAGAATGCTACTATTGTATCCAACTAAAATGCAAAAATTAAGCTGATCACATTTAGAAAACTACAGCATAGCTCTTCTATACTGTAGTTAGAGCAAGGAAGACAGGAAGAAGAAAAGAGTAATAGCTTTGAAAGAGCCCCAACACTCAACTATGTCAATGAAAAATGTGAAACACATGCTTACCTATAGTGTGTGATATAAATTATATGTGGTTCATACTTGAAGCCATGGTGCTATCCAGCTATACGACACTAGCACTCTGAGAGTGATTTTGGAATATGCCCAAACTATTTGACAAAGCTTTAAAGAAAATTGGAGAAAATTTCTTTTCTTCACAAAAAAACAAAAACAAAACAAAAACAAAAAAACAAACAAAAAAATCCACCTTCAAAACCCTTCCAGATCTGTTTGAAGATTTTGTTAGCTAGGTGCAATTTAATTCTCTTATTTCCACTAAGCAAGGCCAGGATGCTGCAGTTTTCATTATATGCAGCATATTGTCAGTAGCTTGTGAGCTGCTGTGGACAAAACACAAGGCTAACACAAAACACTTAGAACAAGCACCACACTATTCAACAGTGGTTTAGGCAAAGACCACAACCGCCAGGAGATCTGTATCTCAGTTATATCAGCTATACAGTGCTGATGATCATGTGTCACTGGACAGATAAAAGCCCTCCAGCTCCTAGTTCTCATGCAGATTAATGTCACGGTGACAGTTAAGGGAGCAGCTGAAAACATGTGATCAAACACTACATGAAAATTTCAATCACAACAGGGCTATAGAAACAGCTGTAGAGGGAACTGTTGCTTAAGAATACTTATAAAGTAACTGCTGAGTAAAACTCCACAGTAGTATAAGTAACAATTTTCATGTTCATCTGAGAAGCATGGGTACATCTGCAAATTACTTACCTCCTCATGACTGCAGCACAACCCACACAGTCCTCCAAGAATGCCATTGATTATCTGTATGAAGCACAGAATGAATTCTATTCCTCCCAAAACAAGGAGGATGGAAAAGAGGGTGACGTTCCACTGCACAA